AATGCCCAGGGAGGGCAGTAAGTTAAAAAATATTTGGCCCAGAACTTTGCTGTCACTTAAACCAGGAGATCCCCAAAGCAGCAAAAGCAACAGTAGCATTTGTCATCTTGGATCTTGAGATTCACTGGTGGGAATAAAGCCAAACAAGGAACTCCTTCCTGCAGAGCACCTGTAATGAACATCTAAATCCAATGCAGTCATCTGGACCTTGTATGACCTACCCCTGAGTAGGCCTTTGCACATATAATGGCAAGTAACAGCATAGTTTTTCCAGGCTGGAAGTCTCTCAAGAGACTCACATCTGGATCAATGATTTATACCTCAAGTTCAGCATTACAGAACCATCTTACTCTCTGATGATTTGTCTTCTGGTTTGGGGCTTTTTTCCCCAGTTCCGTGTTGTCCTTCAAGGTTTGCTAAGCAGTTCACAATGTAGCATCATAAATAACATGTCATTGGGAAAAATACAGACCCTGCTGTTTTGCAGTCTCCAGGAGCAATAAAAGAGTGACAAATTGCCTTGAGCAAGCACTGTCCCATGGCAAGATTAACAGGCTCCACTATATGGAGAGGAGGTAATACAACCCTGGCGGGAGAGGATTTCCTTCTATAACACTTCCCTCCACATGGTTTATGCCTTTTGGTCACCAGAGATACAAAGAGAGAAATAAAAGTTTATAGCCAGAATCCTCAATTGCTCTATCCCCTGAAACTGTCTATGTCTCCCTTACCAACGCAACGTCTACAAAACAAGGTAACTAGTGACTAGTATGACAAGGCCCCACAAATCAACCCCAGTTCAGCGCTGAAACTGCAACAGCTGGAGCATCTGCTGGTGCTGCATTTGGACACAGCAGGGCTGTCCTCCCATAGAGCACAGGAACAGGAGAGCACTGTTGACCTGATACCCAGCAGTGACTCAAATCATCTGCATACAGCTCCCAGCTGTCATCTTTCAAGGGACAAGCAAAGAGAACTGCATCTCCCCTCCTCCTAGCTCCAAGTTGCAACAGGTACAAGCAACAGGCACTCTCAGCTTGACTTAGTTCCTCCCAAAGCTCCTGAAAAGCATCTTCAGTTTTATTCACAGAAGTGCTTTAATGACAACACTGAGTTGATTTCCTAAGGTCAAATTATGAAAATCTATATATGTGTCCTATAAATGTTACAACAATACTCTCTAAGTCTTCATAGTCTTTTCAACCATGATGCTGACATAGTAGATGTTGTGGCTAGCAGGAGATTTCACAAATGCATCATCATATCTTCAGGTTATCACCTTTGATGCCAGGTTTCTATTCCAAAATCCCTAAACTCTAACAAAGAGACAGAGGGAATGCAAGGGGTATACTCTCCATTTATAGGAGTGGGGAACTAAGGTATACCCAAGAGGTATTTAGGTACAGAAATATAACAGCTGGAGTTAGGGGCAGTAAGAAGGCAACAGAAAAATTGGTAAACAGAAGGTACAATTAAATCACAAGCCTCACAGCACACCTTAGGATCTTTCTCACACAGCTGTGAAAACTGAGCACCTGGTCAGAACTTCCTTTTGTCCTGCTTGCTTTCATTTTCTTCACGTGGAAGCCAGGAAACATGAGTAGGTTTGTGTTTGGATCCAGCCCAAGAAGTTGCTGGGACACAGCTGTGACACCCACCCATATCCACCACCTGGAAAATTGGTTTACATTTTGCTGTTTAGATACAAACTGGGAAATGTCTTGACTTTCTTATCATAGCCAGGTGTGGTGTATCAAGAGGAATGTCACTTACATTCCCAGGCCACTAAAAGTCTTGTATAAACCTAAGGTCCAGAAGAACAACAGTCCTAGACAGAAATGCAGTGGTGTTTTACTGTCTTCCACTACTCACAAGCAGGTACATAAGACCTTACAACCTGTGTATGGCTCAGTTGCTTCATCTGTTTTGTTTCATTTTCATGAACAAGATAAAAGAAAAAATAGAAAAGCCAAGAAAAATAGTTCCTTCTTTCCAAGTGACTGTTAGTAGCAATCCTAACAGTGCTGGATACAGTACAGGTAAGAAATGCCAATCTTCAGCATTTCATCTTCTGGAATCTCTCTTCTACAGAGTTTGCAACAGCAATGACACACACACTTGACTTAGGAGCTGGCAAATAAACAAAGTATGTGGCCAGTTTTCAAGTGCTTCCTCTGGCTTGTCTTCTAATTGTATACTGTTGGTCCTGAGATACTCACTTTATATTTCATATCCTGCTTGATGAATAACCTGAACTCCTCTCTAAGGAACTTGACAGTTCAGGGTAAGTCATGTTCCTTTATCTTTGGCTCACAATACCTTTACTACAATATGAACGAACAACCAAATAAGGGAATATCTTCAGGTCACTTAGTGGTATATGTGTAAAAAGGCTGAGTTCATGTCTTCAAAAACATTCAAATGACAAAATCCAGGATAAACTGAACCTCTGGCATTAGCCTGGCAGAAGTGTGACAAAGTTGTCTCCGTGGCAGAGAGGACCCAATTCCAGAGCAACACGTGGGACACCAGCAGGACAAGCCACTGTCATCAAGCAACACAGTATCTTTGGCACAACAAAATTCACTTATCTCACACACAGAGAACATTGCTCCCAGAAATAGCTTGAAAAAAGGGAAAGTTACAAATTCTTTTATCAGTTAAAGCTGCATAACCTTACCGAAATATTACATATGCATTGCTGAAGGACTTACCACAAAGACAAAATGGTGCAAGACCAATGCAGTTCTCCCTTTTCCTTTTATAGTCAATGGAGTATAAAGAATCACTGCGAGATCTAAGAGGTCTAACTATGCACTTCACTTGTGAAAATGCTTTGGGAACAAGGCAACTCAATCCCTGCAGGCAAATGGTAACAGTTAAGGCTACTCTAGGTGTTGAACGGAAACCACTGTCCCCAGGCTCTATAAACACTGACTCCTAGGTGTTGAATTATGGCAGAGTTTGCACTGGTATCCCAGTGCTGTGAAGGAGAAAAGGGAAGGAAGAAGCAATACAACTTTTGACAGCAAAATAAAGTATTATATTTGACTTCCACTGGAGTTAACAGCAAAACTTCCTGACCCTACCAAAGTCAGCTGATTTTATATAAAACAAGACGATGAATCACTGAAATATCACCTGAAAAAACCACATATTACTGATTAAACAGTTTGTATTTAACAGGAAATGGCATTTCATTTCCACTGTTCAAAAAGGTTTTAGAAAATAATATCAGTTGTCACAACAGTCATCAGTACCATTTACATGTATAGAAACACTGAGATCAATCATCCTAAAAAATAGGTAAGAAATTAAAAGTTCTAGTAAAGTTTAGTCATTCCAGTCTTCCTTTAATTGAACTCCAGCATCAGCCTGCAGATCTCATCAGGAGACTTTAACAGTGGTCTTGTTATTTGCTCATTAGTTAATAAGACAACACATGAAAAGTGCTCATAAGCTACAACACATTTCCTTTCGGCAAGATATAAACTGATACTTTAAGTATCCAAATTCAATGGAATTTACTAATTGAAGTGAGAATTCATTCTGCTTCTCATGTTATTGTGATCCCATTCCCACTGCAACCAGGTCAGCCTATTAAATTCCTGAAGTCAGACAAGGAGGAAAGATGCATTTTTGCACTTTTAGCTCACACACAGTAAACGCAGCCATGTGCTACAGCTCCTTGTTTGTAAAGTCGAGGAGAAAAACCAGTTTTGCTGCTGATTCTTTGTAAAATAGCTCTGTTTATGTTCAGCCTCCTGAGTTACACTGTAGCATGACTTTATTCAGCTGTTTGTAAAATGAATTCATTTGTGTTCTGAATATTTCCACTGTAAAGAAAATCCCTTTCCTGTATTCTTTGTGCATTAAGTAACAATACAAAAATGCTTTTTATCTAATAAAACATTAAAGGAAAAAAGGAAATGACATCTTTAAAAACTCTCCATGAACACACACCTACCAGAACAGTGGTAGTATCCTGTCCTATGTGGTACATGGTAACTTCTCTGTTAATAAAAATGATTAATTAGCCTGGGTAGATTTTAAACAACATCATTTCTCCTAGCAATTTAGTAAAACCCTTCAAATAAGACAGACAAGTATAGGGTTTGTATTTCAAGTGCTCTTTATCTGATGCAGCAAGTACTTGGCCGGTATCCTCCTGGTCTCTAAGCAGCACTTCACAGATAATTAAGGGTGAGGGGGAAGGGAAGCAGAACAAACTGCTCTAAATCGTAGCTCTTTGTGAGACAGACCTTAGTGCCAGGTGGTACAGCACTCGCAGAGTACAAACTAAACCCAGCCTTTGTTGAGTTTGCACGTGTGGGTTACCATGCACACATGTTCTTGACACAACCTGAAGAGAAGGCAGATGTTAGTGCCTGGGATTTGCAATCTCCTGCAGTTAGAAAGCAAAGCTCAGCCACTACAAAACTCAGGGCAGAAAAAAGCAGCAATCAAGTGTATGTACAGCGAATGTCCACGGGGCGGCCCCGGCTGGGTCTGGGTGGAAACCTGTCACTGGGACCAGCTCGGCCTGGAAGTGTAGGGTTTGCTCCAGGCAAGGAACCAATTGGGTCAAAATGTGGTGTGAATGGAGGAAACTGACCTGGTCCCTCTCCCGGGCCAGGAATGAGTGAGTTAATTGGGTCTCCAACATATGGAAGTGTTGGTCTCTCATCATATTCTCCACCAATGATAGACTGGGGATAGATTGGATTTGAAGGGAATGGGTTGGGAGGAAAGGGATTAGGATAGAACGGGTTGGAATGAAAGAGGCTTTGAGGTGGTGTCGGGGGCATAAACATCATGTGCCTCCATCTCGGGGCCGCCTTCTTCTGTTTCAACTTTTTCTTGTATAGCTGTGGAAAGAGAAAAAGGCATTTTAAAGCGCTGCAAGTTGTTTCTTCTTCAGCAACTGCATTCAGTTTTGAAGCACTTCTGAGAAAAGCACTCCTCCGCAGTCTGGAAACCCAGAGCACCAACTCCCCTGCCTGCAAAAGACCACCACACAGCAGTTTTGGAAGGTCTCTAACCCATGATTTGGCCATGCACCATGTAAACTGTTGATGCTGCTTTCTCCTACACTGACCAACATGCATACACAGAACACCACACTGAAACTAAAATTTAACTCAAAGTTACTGCCCCCCAAAGTCTATGCTTAATTCTCAAATTAGACTGATCTGAGATCAGCCTGTTAGACATACCTTGTTGATCAGAAAGGGACTTGGCAGTGCTGGTGAACAGCAGCTCAATATGAGCTAACAGTGTGCACAGGTGGGCAATAAGGTCAAGGGCATCTTGGCCCAGACCAAGCACAGTGTGGCAGCAGGACTAGGGCAGTGATCATCCCCCTGGACTTGGCACTGGGAAGGTCACACCTCAGTGTTGTGTCCAGTTTTGGGCCCCTCACTCCAAGAAGGTCATTGAGGCACTGGAATGAGTCCAGCCAAGGGCAACAAGGGCAGCAAAGGGCTAGAGCACATGGGGAAGGGCTGAGGGAGTTGGGCTTGGTAAGCCTTGAGAAGAGGCTCAGGGGTGACCTCATGGCTCTCTACAACTCCCTGACAGGGCTTGGAGAGAAGCGGGGATGTCTCTCCTGCCACGGCTAGAGGGAGAGGACTAGAGGGAATGGCCTTGAGCTGAGACATGGGAGAGTCACATTAAATGTTAGAAAAATGTTCTCCCTCTTAGTGTGTTCAGGCACTGGAATAGATTGCCCAGAGAGGTGGTGGAGTCACCATCCCTGGAGGTGTTTGAGAGGCATCTGGATCTGGCACTGGAGGATATGGTTTAGGGATTCCAGCAGTGACAGGTTAATGGTTAGACTCGATGATCTTAGAGGTCTCTTCCAACCTTGATGATTCTATGGGTTTATATATAAAAAAAGCCACCTACTTCTTTCCAGTCTGTGTCACGAGGTCTCACAGTGGGATCTACAAAGAAAAGCAGAAAGTCAAGAAAAGCAAGCAGCATTCATGCCACACATTCCTGCAGTTTGTCACAACTCACAGGATAATCAAGATTTGAAAAAACACTTATTACATTTTTTCATAAAGACAATTCAGCTTAAAAAATATAAAGCTCCAGTACCATTCAATAGGTAATTTACTTACACAGCCATTCTGCATAAAGCATCATCTCCAAAAGTTACTGAGTATGTAGAGAAATCCCAGAAACACTGTCCCCACACCTTTGCCTTCTGGCAGCACTTCCCTTGTTTACCTTTGTTTCTTCAATCTCTTGTGAGAAACTGTAGCAGGAATATATCTTCCCTCTACTTCCTAATATCTGCAATAGCCAGTACACCAAGGCAGCAAATGAACAGACACAAACAAGGAAAGCCTGCACCACACAATGGGAAGAGTCATGTGGTCCACTAGTACAGGCTCAGAAGATTGTCAACAGAAAACTGTGCATCCACCTGAATTACACCTGACCAACTGTACTGGTTAGTACAACAAACAACTGCATTTACTCAGAAGTGTGGAAATCTCATCAGTGGTTGACTGAGTCTTTTAACAAAACCTGTCAGACCTACCCCCTCTGTTGACATGAGAATGTACTGAGAAAGATGTGTCTCCACATTACCTCGGAAATCCCGCAGGTACATAAACCTCCACAGAAGTTGGTCATTTGAGGCTGTGTAAAGGTCACGGCACACAGCAGAGAGAGAGAGGAGTGAACGCACATCCAGGAGTCTGAATATCCGAAGTTTGAGCTCAAGAGGAAGGACCACTAGTCCAAAGACATCTGGCAAGTTCAGAGCTATAAATTCAAGAAAATAGAGGCATCACTTAAGTGGTGTGGAGTTTACTCTAGCTCTAAAGCCACTACAAGAAAGAAAGAACATTAATATTTCCCTTAAATCCTTTCTCTTTGATGCCTGAATTATCATAGAATCATAGAATTTAAGGGTTGGAATGGCCCTTACAGATCATCCAGTCCCAACCCCCCCTGCCCTGGGCAGGGACACCTCCTCACTAGATCAGGTTGCTCAAGGCTTCATCCAGCCTGGTCTTGAACACCACCAGGGTCGGGGCAGCCACCACGTCCCTGGACAACCTGTGCCAGTGTCTCACCACCTTCACAGGAAAAAAACTTTTTTTGTAATATCTAACCTAGACTTTCCCTCCTTCAATGTGAACCCGTTACCCCTTGTCCTATCATTGCAGTTTCTAACACAGAGGCCCTCTCCAGCTCCCTTGTAGGCCCTTCAGATATTGAAAAGCTGCTATGAGTTCTCAATGCAGTCTTCTCTTCTCCAGGCTGAACAGCCCAAACTTCCTCAGCCTGTCTTCATAGGGGATGTGCTCCTGTCCTCTTAGCAACTTCGTGGCTTCCTCTGGACTTGCTCCAAGAGTTCCATGTCCTTCTTACATTGAGGGCACCAGAACTGTGTGCAGTATTGCAGGTAGGTCTCGTGAGTTACACCACTTTTCTCAGCAACTACTGTGAGGTGACTTAGAATCATAGAATCATCAAGGCTGGAGGAGACCTCCAAGATCATCAAGTGCAACCATTAATCTGCCACTCTGCTGGAACCCCTAAATCATATCCTGCAGCATCAGATCCAGACTTCTCACAAAACATTATCTCTTGAAACTCTAAGTCCACTTACAGAGTGCACAAAATAGGGCAAATGACACCTTATACTGACCACTGTGCCTAAGAAAGATTCCACACAGCTAACTATGTTTATAGGTTGCAGAAAAAAAGAATAGCTAAAGAAAAACAGACTTGCCCAACTTCATGAGCCTGCAAAAGCCACATTAAATCCAGAGCATATGCTTCACATAAAACCTTCCTGCATTGAGGTGTAGAGGGAATTCCATTGAGGAGTCTTCAGAACACAAAGCTGACACCTTTCATGGCAATAACTATGCTGAGAAAGCCTGGCTCCCTACTGCTTCACAAACACCAGGTTGGGTTACTTCCTATCATACTTTCCAAGCCCTCAATGTCCAGTTACTGACAAGATCATTCCTGAGGTTAGACTTCCAAATATGATGCTATATAAAGTTTTCTGTTTTGACAAATAAATAGATCAAAACTCCAGAACTACTGTCACAAATTGTGGTGGCATAATTTTCTCATCCTTAAGTGTGGAAAACAGCCACTCTGCCTCAGTCTCTGAAGTGAGACTAGAGTGATCAAAACTTAAAACCAGAATTATATCAACATTTCTGAGTTACAAAGATTAATATGATTTTTTTAGAATGTATATAGTACTTTATGCTTACTCTTTACATACCCATCACTGAACAGTTGTTTCTAACATTTGTTCTGGAGCTAAATCAAACTGGAGTTGTCACTAGTGATGTTCCCCAGGGCTCAGTGTTGGGGCCAGTCCTACTTAACATCTTTCTTGATGATTTGGACATGGGGATTGAGTGACACTCAGCGAATTTTCAGATGACACTAAGTTGGGTGTGAGTGTGGATCTGCCTGAGGGTAAGAAAGCTCTACAGAAAGACTTGGACCCACTGGATCAGTGGCTGAGGACAACTGCATGAGGTTCAATAAGGCTCAGTGCTGGTCCTGCACTTGGGACACAACAGCCCTATGCAGCTCCAGACTGTGAGAGGAGTGAGGAGAGAGTTGCTGGTCATAAAGGGACTTGGCAGTGCTGGTGGCAGCGGCTCAGTGTGAGCTAACAGTGTGCACAGGTGGGCAAGGACATCTTGGCCCGGATCAAGAACAGTGTGGCAGCAGGACTAGGGCAGTGCTCATCCCCCTGGACTCGGCACTGGGGAGGTCACACCTCAGTGCTGTGCTCAGCTTTGGGCACTCACTGCCAAAAGGCCATTGAGGCACTGGAGCAAGTCCAGCCAAGGGCAACGAGGGCAGCAAAGGGCTAGAGCACATGGGGAAGGGCTGAGGGAGTTGGGCTTGGTAAGCCTTGAGAAGAGGCTCAGGGGTGACCTCATGGCTCTCTACAACTCCCTGAGAGTCTCTCCTGCCATGGCTGCAGGGAGAGAACTAGAGGGAATGGCCTTGAGCTGAGACAGGGCAGAGTCAGAGGAGATGTTAGGAAAAATGTTTTCCCTGTGAGAGTGGTCAGGCACTAGAACAGATTGCCCAGGGAGGTGGTGGAGTCACCATCCCTGGAAGTGTTTAAGAGGCATCTGGATCTGACACTGGAGGATATGATTTAGGGGTTAGGGGTTCCAGCAGTGACAGGTTAATGGTTGGACTCGTTATTAGAGGTCTCCTCCTATCCTGGTGATTCTATGATTCCTTCAAGAACTTAAGACACCCTTGAATCCATCCCCAAAATACCATCTCTAACTGTATATATTTCCTCTCACCTTGTCGGGCAGCAGCCAGGAGAGAGTAAACCAGCTGGTCTTTAAAGAGACAGGATAATTTCTGAAGGTCTTTGTAAACGCCTGCAACCTTCTCTATGAAAGAAGAGAGGTAAGAAGCTTAACTTCAGGAGATTATAATGGCAAAAATATATAAGAATTACAGTTTTCTCATGAGCAGAACTGTAATCTGCTTGTGATCTTGATGAGAGCAGCTCTGCAGTCAGACAGTAACAACCCTGCAACAAACTACAAACCAGTTCCATGGTCAGGCTAGACTTTCCCTTGGCCTTAAAAAGCAAAATTAAAGGACAGACTTGAGTTCTCCAAATAAGCTGATGCTCAGGCTGTCAGAGCTTCCTTCGTCAGATTTCAAAGCTCATGTGTAACATACACCTGTGTTCTAAATCCCTGCAATATTCGCTTTTCTGAGAGAAGTGTTTTCCCATTCTGAAAGATGTCTTTTGGCTCCACTGAAGAAAGAAGAGCCAAAAGACTCTACTGGTTTATCCGACACATTTTAGCACTTGGTTAGTTCTTCTAAAGTCTTTCAACTAGACTTGTACATCAGTGACTGGCACTACCCAAAACATAGTGCAGGACATTGAATCAGCCCCAACAGCAAGAGTGTAGGCACCACCAGCCTCTGAAGTCCTGAGCCACCAGGCAGACAGGGGGTATCATCCAGCATGGCTGCCCCAGAGATTCATACATGTGCTCAGGACCTCATAAATAACGGGCCCAAAGGGTAAATTGGACTTTGTAAGGTTCTTTTTTTTACCCTGTTAATCCAGGAAATACAAATTGTTTTATCAACAAAATGTGAGTAAATGGCTACACTGAATTCCTTTAACCACAAAGTGATGGCTAACCTAAATGGTAACCACATCTTTACTCTTTTTTGCTCTTCTGTACCTATTGGGTGCTCTGCTGAAACACTTCCTTATCCACTATCACTTCTTTATGTTTCAGTTTACTACTATGAGTATCATAGCTCAATCATACCTGGGTCATTGAAGCAAACAAAGGATGCTGGCAATAGCTGGATTCTCTTAACACTTTTTATCTCTTTGTTGATTTTTAATGTTGCTGCAAAGAGAAGAATAAAAGACATTTCAAAATTTAATGCACATTGAGAGATGACCAAGACCATTTCATTCCTGTCCTACCCTTTGGAGGTGCTTTACTTTCCCCCCTTCCAAGATCTCCACAAGGAAAATACAAAACATAGGTAGCATCTAGACAAAATCTCAGAAAAATAAAAAAAGGAACTTGAAATAGCAGAGAGATCTTTGTGACAGCAACCAAGCATTACCTTCAATAATTCTATCAGACGGAGAGAGATGCAACACAGCTAAAAGGTATTATTGTAAGAGCCATTATATATCATTATAAATATGTATAATATATTATTGCATTATCTATATTATCTACATTATAGCATATAAGAGCCATTATTATAACCCAATCATTAAAGAAAAGCTCATTAGAGAAAGACTCAAGAAGTTTATTTTATGAACCCTCATGGCTGTTACAACACTGTCCTAAATCTAACCTTAACCCAACTCAGTTACAACATATGATCAGAACATGTACAGGTTCTGAGAAAACATCTGTGCTTATACAAATTGTCAAAATCAGTTACGAGTTTTACAAAGAAACATAAAAATATTTTAAATTAGAAATCAAGTCCCAAAAATGTGGAATTACTCAAATGACAGGAAAGATTATAACATCAGAGCTAAAGAATACATAGTCTGGAAGTTGTGAGTCTTGCAAAGAGTGTGAGACTTGGTGCTGGAAGACAAGGTTTAGGGTTTAGGGGTTAGAGCAGAGTGACAGGTTAATGGCTGGACTGGATAGCAGAATCATCGAGGTTGGAGGAGACCTCTATCTCAGTGGATGAGGGTCTGCAAGGAATTATTGGATCATTTTAGGGCTTGTGGTGACTGGCTTAATGGTGCAGCAGGTGCTGATTTCTGGCAAGCATTTTCAGTACTATGCCAGTAATGCTACTAACGTGTCTATTGACTGCCCGCTAGTCACATGGAGCCTAAGTGCTATGAGGAGCGCCTGAGAGAGCTGAGGTTGTTTAGCCTGGAGAAGAGGAGGCTCAGGGGAGCCCTTACCACCCTCTACAACTCCCTGATAGGAGGTTGGAGTCAGGTGGGGGTTGGTCTCTTCTCTCAGGCAACCAGCAGCAGGACAAGAGGGCATACACTCAAGCTCTGCCAGGGCAGGTTTAGGTTGGATAATAGGAAGAGATTTTTTATGAAGAGAGTAATCAGGCATTGGAATGTGCTGCCCAGGGAGGTGGTGGATTCACCATCTCTGGAGGTTTTCAAGATGAGACTGGATGTGGCACATAGTGCCATGGTCTAGTAACCATGGTAGGGTTGGACTTTGAGGTCTTTTCCAGCCCAGATGATACTATGATTCTAGGTCTTGATCTTAGAGATCTCCTCCAATTCTATGAAAATATTGTAGCTGGAGCAAATCTACTTCTTTTCATGCCTGGCAATGCATGCCAAAGTTTCTATGAAATAAGACAGGAAAGATTTCTACATCATTGCAATGCAAGGCCCAGCTTAATCTCCTAAGGATTGATCTGTCACAATTAGAAGGAGAGAAACATTAAAAACAGACTGGAAATGTCAGGAATATTCGCATCGGAAGTGCATCTCCTGCACCTCAGCACCTGGGTAATAATGGTGCAGTTCAAAACAGAGTGCACAAAAGCACATGTAAGTTTCCACTTGCTAAACAATGGTGATACTTAGCAATGTGCATCCAGGATAAAGATTTGACTGACTCACCATTAATAACAACAAGATCTCCCAGAGGTACACAAATCAAACCAGCAGAACCTTCTTCACAAAGGGGATGTGTGTACTGTAGCTTATAAACACCATTCCCTCTCCATTTCTCTGGCATAGACACTGCCTTGGCTTCTGTCCCCTAAAAACGCAAAGAGATAACACACTGTCACACTTCAGCAGTTTACCAACGCGGAGGGGCAAGAAAAGGAGGAAAGTCAGGAAACAGCAGAATGATGCTGGCAATTCAACTCTTAGTTCAGCCCCAATGCACATTATGACACAGTGATCATGAATATGTGTGATTACACACTATTCCCCCCCCAAATAACAGCAGATCTAAGGTGAAGTTCAGTCATTTTTTGTCCTGCCCCAATTTCTGACAGAGAAGGTTGTGCAGTGAGCACTCACACCTATTTTTTTAAGACACACACTTCCTCCTGTCATCCATTCCAGCATTCTGACAACTCCTGCAAGTACATTAATTTGCTGCACAAAAATCATGTTATTACACCTTTTCTGTGACCTTACAGTGTCTCACAGCTTTAAGAACCATAGCTTGAAGTCAACTCATTTTTCCAAGTTAACTGTTTTTCTTTTCAGTTTCAGTATGAAAAGGCTCAGATGGAATCCCAGAGGAGGATACAACATAACCACAAATACAAGTAGATTCTTTATTTCCTCTTGAATCTACACAGCAATCATCTTCCCTAGGTCCAAGCCTGCTCACTGACATAAACAAACTTTCTTCCCAGTGGCAAATGTATTCCTGAGACAGTATTTGAAGTTTGGTACTGTACTGGTCTCCCAGACACCTACATGTGCTTAGTTAGCCTCACTACAAGAAACAAGATGAGAATTTGACCTCCCTCAAGTCTCTTTTCTGCATGTTCAGCCATGTATTAGTAAACATAAAATGCAACTGTAAAGGGAAAGGGTGAATTCCTACATTGTACAGAGGTATTGCTATAGGTGCTCAAGTACAATATCTCTACAGATTAGTGGAACCAAAGCCTAACTTAACACTTAGTTGAAGCTCATATGGAATTGGAAACAATTTTTTTGGCAGACCTAGGCCTTGTTAAGCACCAATTGAGCAGGATACCACTGAGACAATACTGACACTTAAGGCAGTACTTCGAAGAAGTGCTACAATCTAAGCACATCTACACATGTTTCACAGTCCAAAGCAGACACAGGAGATTATCAGCTGAGTCCCAATGAGGCTGAGGACTGAAAGAAACACAGGACAGACCTCTTCTCTCACACCTAAAGGCTGCTCTAGACTTTAGCCTGAAGACTTAACTGGTCAGGGAAACTAGAGAGGCTGATACTTCAGCAGCACCTGCAGCTGACTGAGATATACAAGACAAAAGTGGATCTTGTATTATATGTTCCCATGATATTTCACAGCTTTCTCATACTGACCAAGAAATTTCTGCTTAGTTGTGCAGCTACCTACCTGAGGTACATAGCCTGTTTCCATCATGAGAAGATGAACTAGAACAATCAAGGCATCAGTGGCACTGGTACACTCAGCAGAAAGGTAGAGCATCTCTAAGGAATGGGGTATTTCGCCATCAGCAGCTTCACCACACAGCATGGGTTCAGAGGTATAGGAACCTGTGCCTTCTTCCACGGCAACATCTTCTGGGACTAATCCAGAAGGAAATTCCAGGCTGGATCCTGCCTTCTGGGGAAAGCAAAACATACTTTTGTTCAGAAAATTACACCTCTATATACATCAACATTATAAATCCGCTTATTCCTATTCCTGTATGATTTCCCAGTTGTACAGATTTATTATACCCCCATTTTCCAACATCCCAGGTGCAAACTGGGATTCTGCATGCAGCCTCTATATTCTTTAATGCTTATAATGCAAGCCCTTCATTAAAGGGTCTATCATTTTATTGCATATCCTAATTGAAGACAAAGTGACAATAATGTATTACACCTTCATCAGGATTTTTGCAACATGCACAGGAATAATTCAGTATCACCATTTATTTGAACTTGGCCAACACACATGGCAAGGAATCAAAACAGGAACTTGGACTGCTAACAAATACAACAGAAAAAATCATCATCAATGGAGTGCAGCTGCTGCCACTTGAGGAAGACTGTTTCTTTATTGTAGCTTCCTTTCTTCTACCCAAATCATACCATGTCATTAAGCAAACTGACAAAACTATATACAGACACATTAAAAAGAAAAAAAATAGAAGGGAAACTGTAAGCAGATTTACCTAAGAAAAGACCTCAAGTGCTGCGTTCAATTTAGGGCCCCTCACTTTAAGAAGCACACCGAGGTGCTGGAGCGAGTCTGGCCAAGGGCAATGAGCACAGAAAAGGTCTGGAGAACATGTGGTATCAGGAAAGGCTGAGGGAATTTGGTTTGTTTAGCCTTGAGAATAGGCTCAGGGGTGACCTCATGGCTCTCTACAACTCCCTGACAGGGGCTGGAGAGAGCTGGGGGATGTCTCTCCTGCCATGGCTGCAGGGAGAGAACCAGAGGGAATGGCCTTGAGCTGCAGCAGGGCAGAGTCAGAGGAGACATTAGGAAAAATGTTTTCCCTGTTAGAGTGATCATGCACTAGAACAGATTGCCCAGGGAGACAGTGGAGTCACCGTCCCTGGAAGTGTTTAAGAGGCATGTGGATCTAATGTTAGGGGATACGGTTTAGGGGTTACAGCAGTGGCAGGTTTTTGGTTGAACTCAACGATCTTAGAGGTCTCCTCCAACTCTGATGGTTCCATGATTCTATGAAATGGTCAGAAAAGGAAAAAACAAAGATTCTGTTTCCATCAGGCAGTGCCTGTTGCACCTGTTCAGTACCTGGAATCAATTCTCTCAAGAAAGCAGCACTGAGACAGGTAAGAAACATAATCCTGATTTTCTAATGACACGTGCATGTTCCAGCAAAAACATTCACTCCCGTAAAATTGTCAGACCTAAAATATTCCAGGTCTCTGAACTAGCTTCTGAGTCACTGTTAATATCCAATGAATAGAGACAATTTTCCATTCAAATAACTAGATAGGTATCAGGCAAGTATAAGGAACCAAATATTCTGAGAGACTCTCTCCTATACAGCACAGCAACTGAGACAAGATGATACCTTCTTTTTTTGCTTGTGCTGTACAGGACAATTCTCATGTACTTACTCTTTCATCACTCATTTGAACTTCCATCTGAGCTTTCTGGTTGTCAGATTGCTCACTCTGACCTTCTTCTTGTGGACTGTTGGCCTGACTTGTGTGGGGGATCAAGGTGGACGGCTCATGCCCATTCTGAAGTGGGGGACAAGTAGTAGTAGGAGGAAGAGGTAGGTTGGGTTGTCCATCTGCTTCTCTGAGTAACAAGCAGATCAAATCACCAGAAACAATCCCATATGAAGCTAAGGTCTTCTGGTCTTCGGTGAGAGCGTCTTTTCTGTTCAGTGTTATTGAAAACTCGGTATCAGAACTGAAAAAAAAACCAAAATAAACACAAAAAATAAGGAAACATGGATGGCTGCACCTGTGTAACTGCACACAGAGGGATATGGCGCAATGTGGCAATTAGCTATGGTTTAGTTGACATGGTGGTGACTGGTCAAAGACTGAACTCTTTGATCTTGGAGGTCTTTTCCAACCTTAATGGTTCTATAATTCCATAGTTGGAAATGCACAATGCATACTACAACAGTACTACCCTGTGGGGTTTCATCCATTCATAATTAGCTATGTATTAAAGGAAGAGTAAGGGGGGGAATCATGAAATTATTTCCCCCATATTTCCCTCCAAGTACATTTTAAGTAGCAGTAACTGCCTGGTAGATAAAACTTCCCTTACAGAAATTGCTCACAGAACGCCTAGGAAGGAAATCAAACAAGTGCCCTTCAAATCAGAAGATATCACACCTAGCAAAACAAGCTTTAAATAATCTCCTGCCTGAGAAGATTTAAAAATAAGCTAAGTGTAGAAGTGTCAACCACCTTTGCTTTCTCATTAAGTAAACATTAACTTCAAAGATCAGCAGCTCTCCTACAGCATGCTGATTGTGAATGAGGGTACTAAGAAATGATCACAGAATCATCAGAGTGGGAAGAGACCCTTGAAGATCACTGGCTCTGCACATAACATCCCTGAGAATCACACCCTGGGCCTGAGAGCATTGGCCAAATGCCTCCTGTGCTCTGCCAGCCTTGGGGCTGTGACCACTGCCCTGGGGAGCTGTTCCAGTGCCCAAACACCCTCCGGGGAAAGAACCTTTTCCTAATATCCAGCCTCAATCTCCCCTGAAAGAGCTTCAGGCCATTCCCTTGGGTCCTGTCACTGGTTGTCAGAGAAGAGAGGTCAGTGCTGCCCCTGCAATGCCCCTCGTGAGGGAGTTGTATCCAGTGATGAGGCCTCCCCTCAGTCTCTTCTTCTCCAGGTTGAACAGACCAAGTGCCCTCAGCCACTCCTCATGTAGCTTCCTCTCAAGGCCCTTCACCCCTCATGTAGCTTCCTCTCAAGGCTCTTCACCATCTTTGTTGCCTCCATTGGACACACTCTAATAACTTAAAACCTTTCCTGTATTGTGGTACCCAAAACTGCATACAATATTCAAGGTGAGGCTGCACCAGCACAGAGCAGAGTAGGACAATCACCTCCCTGCACCAGCTGGCAATGCTGTGCCTGATGTCCCTCCTGGCTGCCAGGGCACACTGGAACTCATATTCAACTTGCCATGGACCAGGACCTCCAGGGCCCTTTCTGTGGCACTACGTTCCAGCATCTCAAGATGCTTCAGGGCAAGCACTCATGAAAAAAACAACAATCATATAGAAATGAAACTGGTTAGCAGGGAAGCAGCTATCCACTATGGGTGGTAAAATACATACACTGTAGCCAGACAAGCAATAACTTGCGGCTCTGCAGCACAGTGCAGAAGTCAATGGTGAATCACCAGTGACACAGGGGCAAGCCCAACCTAACCAAAGCTTTGTGAGACAAACCCTTTAGCCACCACCAGCAAACACTGCTCTTCTGCAGGTGACTCTTAAATCCATTCTGCAGGTTTACTCTCCTACAGAGAATGCCACAAGTGGTTCATAGACAACACGTTCATGCAACCTAAACCCAGAGATCCCCCAAGAAGCCTGAAAAACTGCAGCACCGACACCCAACACCCGCTGGGGAACATCAGAGCCGCTCAGAAACCTGAGTCAGCTCAGACTGCGCTGCAACATGCACTCCACAGCTGAGCACTCCTCAAGTCGCGTTTGCCCGCTGCGCAGGGACCGGCCGGGAAGCAACACGCGCTGCAGGAGCCTCGGCAGACTGTCCCTGCGAGCGGGATAAACCCCCGGGGGGGACAGCGCTAAACGCGCCGGGATGCGTCACCGAGACCCGGCGGTGCCCGG